AAATTTTGCGGCCGGAGCTGATCGTAACCCGAAAAGTTCGTTAACAGAAGCGTTCGTAACCTGAGGTTCCACTGTATCTATATAGCTTAGCACAAGGTTGTTTCAGTTTGGATTAGCAGGCAACTTAAGTATGAGAATTCTGATTAGCAGGCTACGTAAGTTTGGGTTGGATGGCATAGCAATTAGGTGGGTACATGGCTGGGTCCAAGACTGTACTTAAACAGTTCTCAACAAGTCCTCTTCAAAGCTAAAGACATCAATTCTGTGCTTGGTACTCTTCATTTTAATGACGACTTGGATGAGAAGATGGAGAGAAATACTTAATAAATTTGCAGATGACGCAAAAGTGGATAGCATCAATGAAAAGGATTTTGGATTTGTAATTAATGACAAACTGAATGTGAATCAGCCGTATGACATGGCTGCAAAAAACAAAAACAGAAACAAAAACAAACAAAAACAAAAACAAAAACAAAAACAACCCAAGCAAATTTAGGCTACGTTAACAAAAGTATAGTTTTTAAATATTCTGCATTCTTAGATCCACTTTAGATACTATGCTTAGTTCTGGGCACCATATTTTGAGAAAGATTCATAGAAATTGGAACAGGTTTAGAGAAGATCAACAAGAGTAACCTGGGAACTAGAAGCTAAATCATACAAGGAGAAATGTTAGTCTTGAGAAAAGTTGACTAGGAGGGGACCTGATGTGACTCTTCAATCAGTAGAATTCCATAATCTGTTCTTTATCATCCTAGAATTCAGGAAGTGAATGATTATTTTGAGTTTATAGGAAGGTAGATTCTGTTTGAGTTGTCAGAGAAACTTCCACCTGATTATAGCTGTTGAGAGTGAAAGCATTTACAAAAAAGATGGTGAGGTCTTCGCTATAAGCAGAGATAAGGCAGCTTAATAGGTTATGATCCTATTAATATGATTATTCTAGCTATCAGTGATAATAAACGTACCTCCACCCTGACCTAACTGGGACTGTACAGTAGCTCTAAATACTCAAAGATCATGTAGAAAAGAAAAGATCTTTTTTTAGCCAGACTTTTTCACCTTGATCAATCCTTACAGTAGCTATTTCTCTTAAGAGGGAGTTATTCCTTGCATGTTTTCTTAGTCCTGTGTGTTTTTCATAGTAACTGAACCTCTTCCTATAATCCTTTTTTCTCCCAATATGGCTTATTCCTCTGCTCTAGATTTCCTGTATTAGTATGAATGACGTTTCCTCCAGACTTGTTCCCATATAAAATGGCAAATGTATGAGGATGTCTATCACATGATTCTTTTTGACAGTGAAAACAATGAAACCAGAGCTTCACAAATGCTAATACTTTTGAAAGGCTTGATTTAAGTTCTCTAGGTTGTTCATTTCATGCTTTCCTAGAAATCTTCAAGTCACTAGAATATTAAAAAATAAATTGCTTTGTACTTTGTATACTTTATATTGTTTTGAAAGCTATCCAAGGAAATTCTCACTGTTTGCAAACGTTCTAGGAGCTCATTTGCCTCCTACATTTGCATTTTTAAGTGAGTGAATTTTTGATCAAATAAGCATTTTTCTCCCAGTAATGTTACAAAGAAAATTGAACATTTAAGTAATCAGCTCAGTTGCTTTAGCCTTGGGAGCTGCATGATCCCTGTTATAAGTCTGTGCATATGGGTAGAACTTTGATGCTGTGAATAGTTCCAGAGTTTGCTGAAAAAGATTAGATTAAGTGCATGTGTGTGATGATATTGGATAAATCTTTCAGAAGACACACACACACACTGAGGACTCTAGCAGTGTTTATAAATGTAGGACTCTAGCAGTGTTTATAAATGTATGAATCATTGTCTTAAAAGCTTACTTTGGGACTGTACAGTTCATATATAGGTCCTGAAATACAGTTATTTAAAGAAAGCTGTTTAATATGTTAAATAGTAAAATTAATAAACATTATGCTATTACCACTGGCCTGGTACACATATAAAACTTTTTATTTGTAAATGGAAGTTTGTAATTCAGGAGCTGACCCCATAAAGCTCAATGGAATTAACTATGGTTTAATATCATGCAGTTGCCAACATAAATTTTGTGGACATGCATAGATTCCTCTATTAATGTGACTTTAATATTACAATCAGACATAGTCTAAATTATACCTTGAAATATTTTTACTGGAATACTAGTACATGGGAAATCAATGGCATATGCTTTTTATCATTATTTTGATGGTAAGAAAACATAGACAATTGCTTACATTCCCCATTTTGAATGTCCAGAGAATTACTGTGTGCATTTGGGATTGGATGTTTTCCAGTACAGTCACCTCTAAGACCTCTAATTTGCAATTGCCAAATTCAGCTAACACTGCCTCTATTCATTATGTTAATAATTAATCTGTAAAAACATTTTTGTTTTTGTTTTAATGTTGATTTCTGCTTCCTGTCATTGACTATATCAAAGATAAGGCCTTTTAAGTTGCTGTGCGTGACTGTCCACACTTTTTGCTATTTCCCCCTTCACAAGCCATGTCTCAGAATCAACGGTTGGGTACCCCATCTTATTTATTCTGTGAGGCACCTGGTGCCGTCCAACTAAGCTATTTGGGGACTACAGGTCCTATAATCCCTAACCAATAGGCATACTGAGTGCTGATGAACCTTTTAGTATATTTGGAAGGGTGCTACATTTCCTACATGAGCTCTGTTTCTACCTCTACCTCTACCTACGCCTACACCTCTACCTCGTGAAGAAGCATCCATCTCCTGTCCCATCCATCCATCCATCCATCCATCCATCCATCCATCCATCCATCCATCCATTTTAAATTTTGGAGGAAAAATCTAGTGGGTGTTGCCAACTATTTGTTTCTTCCTGTCCATGGAGATTTTTGTTAAGAGAAAGAAGATTGGCATTGGAGGAGAGTAGGCAGAAGGGTCTCCATGGAAACTGGGCCTTTGGGAAACCTTCCCAGCATTCCTTGCCCTGCTAGCAAGAGGCTGCTTTGTACACAGTTGGAAATGTCAAAGGTATTGCTGCAAATATATTAGGAGAAGCCAGCTTCCTGTATTGTTTTAGCTCTTGAAGCGATAGAAAAGTGCGTATGATGAGTACTCAATGCCGGATGGATTGTCCTCTATCACTTTTTAAGGTAGCAGTTCACCCGGGAGAGACAACATTTAGTGCAAGTTGTCATCCAGCAGTGTCTCAGTCAGCAGGATCGGGTTTTTGTATTAGAAGCTTTTTGTTAATGACAAAAAGAATCATTAATGATTTAATAATAATGGAAGAAATGAAGTAGCATAAGAGATATTGTTCTCTTTCTCACAACTAGTTTGCTAATATATATTTTAGGCTGACTATGTGCAAGCACAATGTGAAAGCCGATTTTTCTGAACATGTCTGGGTAAGGAAAATTCAGGCTGACCCTGACAGCATGGACCAGCTTTTCCTAGCCTAGTGGCCTTCAGGTATATTAAACTACATACAGTTCATGGAATTCCAGTGGTCATGTTAGGTGGGAAGTCCATCTGTGGTAGCCCAATACCCCAGGGTATTGTGTACCACAGGGAAGGGAACCAGAGAAATGGTACCACAAGGAAGGGAAAACTGGATTTTGACCCTCATTTGGCCAGTCTGAGCCAACCTGTTTCCTGAGAGGAATTGCAAACACAGTAGTGAGGGAAAAATGTGAAAGAAGGCATATCCATGGGAACAGAGCATGTAGTTGGGTCTCTCTGTGGCTTCTTATTGTCTGTAATTTAATTTGCAAATCCTCCAAGATGCATGGTTCTCACTCAATTTAATTTCATTAGTGTTCTGTTCTTTGATAAGTTTCTATACAACTAGACTGTCCTCCCAAAGGTCTATCACTAGCTCACCAGATTGATGCCCCTTCCCAAACTTCTTTCTCCTAGGATCATTAGCACTATGATTTCTTACTGACATATCTCTATCCATTCCAGGTTTGAAGTTTGAAGAGCTACAAGAGAAATTTGGGGCTGAATTCTTCAACATCTGCTTCAATGAGAATGAGAGAGTTCTTCGAGCTGTGGGTGGCACCTTGCAAGATTTTTTTAATGGCTTTGATGCTTTGCTGGAGCACATAAAGACTTCGTTTGGGAGGCAGGTCACTTCAGAATCCCCTTCTTTCCTATGCAAAGAACTCCCTGAAGGCAACCTTATGCTTCACTACTTCCACCCCCATCAGATTGTTGGGTTTGCCATGATGGGTATGGTTAAGGCAGCAGCAAGGAAGATCTACCAACTGGATGTTGAAGTGGAACAGATTGTAAATGATAAACTATGTTCTGAGGACTTAAACCCAGGCAACTGCAACTGTCTCACTTTTATTATCAAAGAGCGCGAAAATGCAAATATCACAAAAGCGCTTCCTCTAGGGACTTCTCAGTCCCCTTCTGATCTGAGGATAAGCATTAATACCTTCTGCCGAGCTTTTCCTTTCCATCTGATGTTTGATCCCAGCATGCTGGTGCTGCAGCTGGGTGAAGGACTGAGAAAGCAACTCAAGTGTGAAGCTCATAAGACCCTGAAGTTCCAGGACTGCTTTGAAATTGTTTCTCCAAAGATTGCTGCCATGTTTGAACGAGTCCTTCTGAGACTGTCTACTCCTTTTGTGATCCGAACCAAACTTGAAGCATCTGGCTCTGAAAATAAAGACAAGGTAAGAATGCCATTTTCATCTTGGAAGAATACTGTTTTGGTAAATTACAAAAATGTCTAGGAAATTTAAAAATGAAAACACTGGAGTAAGAGCTACTGCTAAGATGAAGGATGAATGGGATCAGGCCACAGTGCAGAGGTAAAGGGTGAATAGATGTCCTTGTGCTGTCTTCTGTATGCAACGTTCATAGAGTTGCACATCCCAGGACATGCTAGTTTCTTCTTCAGAAAATATCTGCATATGTTATCTTATGGGACAAATATAAGCTATAAATAGAAAGTATAGATTGGGACACATAGTCACCCATTTCCTGCTTTCAAGACTGTTGATCTAACCTGATTTTTGCCTCTCTCAAGCTTGTTTTAGGTAAATATTAAGCCAAAACTATTTGTGGGACCTATTTTCTGACTTCTTGTGTAGTTTGATTCTTCATTACTAGATATTAGATAGTGAAATCTTAGTAGAGATGTTATTGCTAAGCTAGTCTTCAACCTGATGAGTGATTCCAGGAGTGTCAGACCTGAACTGAAAGTGATTCTTTCCAAGCATGAATCTCCTAAAATTCTCTTCAGCAAGCTTTATTAAGATTAAAGCAATACTAATATAAGAATTCCAGCAAGTGAACTATTTTCAGTTTAGAATCAGATATATTAGACCTTATATACCTCTGTGTATGTGAAGGGACAGACTTCCTAATTTCCCTTTTTCTCATAGCCTTGTAGTGTACAGGGGAGTCTGCAGTTGTAAATTCTTTACCCAGTAATTGCTTGAATTGTTAATAGGCCAAGGAAGAACTCTTTCAATGAGGTACCATGATCAGACAGATTAAAAGGTGCTGAAACATGAAGAAAATCAATAAGGCTGCATTTCCTCTCTTCTTCTTTCAGCATGATGAAGCAGTTTTGCTGCTAAAACCAGGGTAGGAACCAGGAGAGGATCCCAATGTTCAGAATCTGACATTATGGAGATCCAAGCTAACCATTTTTAGGAACAAGAAAGAAGAAGCAGAAAAACAGAAGGAAGGAAGGCTATCTCTAGGTGCAAGACAAGAAAATAATTGTTGTGCAGTCTTATAAAGAGTCTGTTTCACCATATCTTGTAGCCATTCTTCAACTGAGATATTTATGTTTTGTTTCTGTTTTATTCATGCTTTCTTTGCATGTATCTTTTCCAACTAGGGCAGGCTACACAGACAGAACTTCAGGGTTTTCATTTGTTTTCTTTTCTTTTTCTTTTTGCAGAAGGTCATGCCTCTTTCTACTCTACTAGCAAGGCCAGGTTATGGTGTAAGAAAGCAGGATTTGGCCCAGGATATTGTGTCAATGATCCCTGCTTTCTAATCGGGATGTTGGTAGGAATGCCATCTCCCCACTTTACTATAGATGTCTCTGTCTCTCCCTTCCCCAATATTTGAAATATGAACAAATCTTTTTACTGACTTTACTTCACTCAAGAGGTTTATTTTTTTATCAGTATTTTTTTTTTTTGGATTAGGAAAGCCACAAGTGTGACTCTACCAATGTTTTAAATACATCACTTGATTTTTATTGGGGATTTTTTTTTTTTTTTTTGGCTGGGGTTTGTCTTTACTTCATTTCCTTTTAAAATTCAAGTGGAGTTAGTAAGGACAGGAGCAAAAAGTTGACATTCTGCTTCTTTTGTGATTGCAAGGGTGGAAAAATCCAAACAGAATCACATTTCCCATGTTGGTTCCATTCTTCTGTTAATATTCCTCACGTTTGCTTGTCAGAATGTGTTAGGCTCTAATGATTTTCAAAATGAATTACATCGGCTAATTTGACAGCTGCCAGTGGTTGTGAATGGAATAATGTAAAACAATAGATGACAATGTAGCTTAAAAATAAATCCTCTACCAACACTAATGACTATGCTTCACTGAAGTTTAAAACTTCTTGGATAGCCATATAACATTTTTAATTTAGGGATGTGCAAAGGCCTAATTTTAAATAGTATGTGCTTTCATCTCATAATGAAAGAATTTTCAAAATGGTTTGCAAATTAGCGTACATCCTTGCACAGTCACTTTTAACCTGGGTGCCCTCGAGATGGATGGACTTATTTTTCAGCAATTTCTGAGAATTTTATGAGATGGAGTCCATACATTTGGATGGCACACAGTTTGGGGAAATTTATCCTAGCATAAGATTTTTATTCTCTATACGGAGTATAGATTGGCATCTTTTGATTAATGTAATTCTGCCATCATATCAACAAGATTTCTCCAGGTTTTTATACCGACTATTATTCAACACCAAATTTCATGTAGTTGGAAAAATCTGTGAAATACTTAGTGCAAAGTCAACATATTTTTGGTATTGATCCAATAATAATCATACAAATAATATGAAATAATAATAATACAAAAAAAGTCTGGATAGTGGACATTGCAATACCTGGAGACAGCAGAATAGAAGAGAAAGAACTGGAGAAAATCACAAAATATAAAGACCTACTAATAGAAGTAGAACAACTGTGGCAGAAGAAAGCAAAGATAGTAGCAGTAGTTATAGGCGCGTTAGGTGCAATCCCAAAACATTTGGAGCACCATTTGAAGACCATTGGCATTGACAAAATCACCATCAGTCAGTTGCAAAAGGCAGCTTATATCCTTTGACGATACCTTTAACACCATTAAACAGCAACATCTGCCTATCTTAGGTCCTTGGGAAGGACTCGATAGGTGGATAAAAATGCCAAATCCAGTCTAAACATCTGGCTAACATTTCTGAAACCAAGAAATGAAGCACAAAGGATTGAAAGAAAAACCGTATTGCTGTTTGCTAAGAGATGAAAATATTTGCTTTACAAAAATTTTACTGGTCAACACAAGTTTATGCTAGATTTAGTAGCCAGCCAAAATATGTGGTTGCTACCAACCAATTGCAAAATGTTATCTGATGTCAAAGTTGCCTTTAGACAGGCTCGCTGTCCCTTCAATCTGTAGAGATACCATTTTTAAATCTTCCTCATCTGAAACAAACAAACAAAATCTTCCAAATGCAAAACTAGTATGACATCCAAGGAAAGATACTAGGACAGTCTTTTCCCAGATATGCTGTTTTCTGTTAACATATTTTTATATCTTCAAGAACATTATTAAAAAAATATGTTCTCCCCACCTGTAAAATCTGAAACAGCGCAGTCTCTGCCACTTCATGCAACCAGTCACTCTGTTCTGCATCGTGTGTGCTATCAATTCCAGCATGAACATTTTAAAATTGGGATTCTGTTCATTCATTCTCATGAATATGTCAGATGGTTCTTTGAGTGTGTTTCTGTGCTGGAAGGTGGTTGCCTGAGAGATTTGTGAGTTGCCCCTTCCACTTGCCTTCAAAACTGAGTTTTTGAAAGGAAAACATTTAAATCTCTATGTTTCAGGAACCTGTAAGAAAGGTCCTTCTTGGCAGATGTATTTCAGTTGCAGATTTACCTGGTAATAGCTCTCTCTATGAAGCCACTTTCTACTTAATTTTCCTGTCATGCTCTGGAGTAATACTCTGCTGGAGCTCAGAAGTTCTGGGAAATTTTAAATGGCAGAAGGCTTTCCAGTCCATGACTAACAATTGCCCAGAACCCCAAATAAGAAGACCTGGTTCTGTATTTTGGAGTTCTTGGTCAAGCTTCACCTTGAACAATTCTACCACCCCTTCTTACTTTTACTGTTATTGGCAATTCACATTACACCTATTCAGTCTAGCTTTCTTTAAAGGGTGTTTTAACAATAAACTTTGGGGAAGGGAACCATATTTGATATCTTAGAAAAAATGGATGGAAATAAAAGCAGAAAACAAATACAACTGGTGCTGCTGTTGAATGAGTATCCCTTAAACTCATTGGTGCTATAATTATATAGGTAGTCCTCACTTAACAATGGAATTTCTGTCGCTAAGTGACATGGTGATAAAGCACCGCTTAGCAATGGAAATTCCGGCAGTCCCCAGTTGCTGGCATTAAGCGAATTACTGCAGATTGTTAAGCAAGGATGTTATGTGGTCCCCATTTGCAACCTCCTGCTGGCTTCTCCATTGACTTTGCTTGTAGAAACCCGGCAAAGAAAGTCACAAATGGCAATCATGTGAGCACAGGATGCTGCGACCATCTTAAGTACAAGGACTGCTTGTAATTACTACTCATTCAGCACCATCATAAGTTCAAAGTGTCATTGATCGAGTGGTCCTTAAGTAAGGACCACCTGTACATAATATTAACACCCATAAAGAAAGCTTTATATCCTGCAACCATTTAAAAATCATTGAGGGGTGAGGAGGGGATATTTCTGCAAGGAGTTTTAGGAGAAAGAGTAAAGAAATGTAAAGCTGTGAAGTACATTTAGGAAAACAGTTTTTAAGTGCTTCTGAGTATTCTCAGAAAGTATTGTCGAAGGCTTTCAGGGCCGG